TTTACATATATATATATATATTAAAAAAACTACATAACACGAAATTTTCACATACTTTCTGAGAAAATCCATGTATTATCTTTAGATGTTTCATTTGTTGTCTACCTTTTGGTGTAAATGCGAAGATCCAATCGTAATGTAACCACGGTCTTATTGTTCTAAATTTTAATTAATTTAAAATCACTATTATTACAATTGTATATTAATATATATCATATATACATAATTTTGAAAAGACAAGAGTATTAGAAAATATTAGAAATGACGCGTGTTTTTAAATTTAATGTATTAATTGTATCATAATATCATAGCAAACATTCAACATTTAAAAATTTTAAATTTTTATTTTAGACAAGCAGTTTGTTGATTAAATGTTTAAATTGCTAACTATCATATTGAGTATAATTATTATTTTTATATAATTAAATGATATTAATGTGTTTTTTTATCTGGATACTTTATAGTTATTTAAGATACCTATAAATTACCTATAAAATATGAGTTCCAACATCTGATGAACTGCATTTCGATACTGTTGTAATGAACCAAGTTTATGTGGAGAAGTACTCATTCCAGTTTCTACAAAGACATATTTTAATAAATATCAATAATACATGCTCAAAAATTTCTAAAGAGTTTTTAGAATTAAATATTATTCTTTAATATACAGACATAACTATATTTTGAATATAAAATTTATATTGTTTGTCGTGTTATCTAATAATAAGATAAGGGTGTCATATTACTAATCAAAATGCCATACCGCAAATTGTATTGAGCGTATATTCACTAATAAAAAACATTAAATCGTTTACAATATGGTCGTCCGTATTTTTCAAAGAGTTTGTCATATCTTCGCTCTGCTTAACGAAAACGTCAACAAACTGTTGTAATATAGCAAAATGGAACGTGGGATTTAATAATTTTCGTCGCGATTGCCATTTTGCATCTAAAACAGAAACAATACACCTGCTAACAAAAATAAATTGGAGCTTATTAAAGAGTAAGAAAGAAGATGAATACTCCATCGTACAAAGTTTCATTATCCTTACATACTATGACAGACTTGTAATTTGCATTTATATTTGTCTATATCTTTTTCTACTTAATTTATAACGAATACATTTTATATACAAATTTTCTTACAAATAATGTTCATATTTTAATTAATTATGTAGTAATTATGTAGTGATTTAATTTTTCATCGTAATTTGAATATGTAATAAAAACTGCATATAATAGTAAAATGTACATATATTATATATTATATATTATATATATATTATATATATTATAATGATATAATTACATTACCTTCACTAGTGAGAAGACCTTTTTTAAAAAGAGGATGTAAGAACTTGTAAAGAAAACCCTTGTTGAAATGCGTCTTTAGTATTACCTAAATTTAAAAAATTATAAAGTAATTGTTTTATTCAATCGTGAAATAAATGATTGTTGTGTAATAATTGTTGTATAAATTATTATTGACATTTTATTAATTCAATCTTTAATAAGATTGTCTAGATAACAATTTATACTAAATATAAATATAAATGAAAAGTTTTGCAATTACCAATTTGTCAATAATGTAAGTACTGACAAATTTGAATGTTTTTACGTTATACTACCTCTATGTCATCTGGATGACGGATACATACAAAAGGTTTATAGAAAAACCATATTTTAAAAATAGGATAATATTTGTCAAAGAGAGTGAACTGCAACTTCCAAATATTTTCTGAAAAGGTATATATGTTGTGAATACAAAAATTTACTGCTGGAATATTTATAATTAATTCATTAGTATATTCTTAATATGTATGTCAAATTTATTACAATAATTAGAATATGAAGCTGTATATTTAAATAACATTAACGATTTGAATGTATTAAAAATATACTCGTCAACAAAATTATCTCATAAATAAATTTATCTAGTCTAGAAAAGCAAAAAAATGTGTATATATATTTTTTTACAAAAGATTTACAAAAGATTTATTATACAAAGATTAAAAAATAATTAGTGATTATATGTTCTTTCTAGTATATATAAAGTATACAAATGTTTTAAATATGCTAAATAATATAAGATATTATTAGTTATTAAAAAAATGAATGATATCCTAACAAAATTAAAAAAAGACTTTAAAAAAGATAAAAAATAAAGCCAAGTTCACGCACATCTTATTTA